TCCTTACATTAGTTCGGTTGATGACATCTGTGAGCTTCTCACCACTTGGCAATGTCTCCTCAAAAACCCACATCCTCACTTCATCTGAAATTTTTCATGATTGGAAATGTTGTAATTCAAAATGGGTTCAAGTTTCCATAAAGAACAAAGCCAAAAGACTCAAGCTTTTATCTCATTCATTTCTTCAAACAGTAAGTGGGCACCCCAGAAACCAAAAACTCTCAGCTTAATCCAGTCTGATAACAACTAACATTGGATCACCTTGATATAAAACCATTCATTTATTATAAAGATTCTCACTTTAGCATCTCTCTTCTTATTTTCCTCCTCACATAACCAAAGGAATTTATACCCACATGGTCGAAACAAAGAATCAAAAATCTCATTGCCACCCATTATTTGCAAGAAAAAGAAAGCCCCAGAAATCATACATATACGTGTTTCTGTATATATATATATATAGAGATAGAGAGAGAGAGAGAGAGAGAGAGATAAAGAGAGGGATACGGGTAGGTACCATTAAAAGAAGGGAGGTTGAGAGTATTAGAGGCAATGAGCTTAGCAGCAACACTGCCCCAATTGCCACTTCCCACAACGGTGACAGTTGATCTCTTATCATCATTCTGGTTATGTTCTACAGCGGGGGCCATGAAGGAGGCGGAGAGGAAAGAAGGAAGGGACCGGGGAAGGGACAGAGATTGAGAAGAAGTGCGCCGGGAAAGGGAGGAGAGATGGAAGAGAGAATAAAAGGAGGAGAGAAAGCGCATTTGGGCGGAGATGGCAGACACGTTTCGTCACAAACAAAGCCCATTTGGGCTTACATGTTGAATCTTGGCGATCTACTCTATGCTCCTCTCTCTCTCTCTCTCTCTCTCTCTCTCTCTCTCTCTGCGGTGCAACTATGGTATTTCTCTCTCTTTCTCCCTATCTGTCCGGGTGTCTGTGTGGCAGGCTCCTGTTGAGCTAGATACTCGGTGGGGACCCATCTGGTTTTGATCTAGATGTATGTGCATGAATTTTAGTGCATCCGTATGTGTGTCTATATATATATATATATATATATATATATATGTATATGTGTATGTACATATCTTTTGAATCAATGGCATGTTATATTGCAATCATTGCCACAATTGGGAGGTTTTAATAATTCAATCCTGAAAATGTAGGAGTTAAAAATTGTACCTTTAGAAAAAAGTTAAAAACTTGGATGAAGTTAGATTTGTAGATTGATTATTGATATGTATTTTGATTAAAAAAGATAATCAAATTTAATTAAAAACAATAATTTTCTTTTGAATTTGGTTTAGAATTGAGAAAATGCATATTAATTTTATTGAATTTGATATTTTTGATTTTATATGGGTTAAATTTTTATCATTTAATAATAAAATTTGTATTTTTTAATTAAAATAAATAAGAATGTTTATCGGATCATACTAAGTTGTAGTATATTGTATATTCCATATTTAGACTAAAAACTAAAACCTATAAATTTCAGCAAGCAACTTATTGGTTTGGATCCATTTGGTTTCCAAATCATATATTATTGTTTCTTTCCATATTTTTTTGTGTATAATTTATAATTTAAATAAATAGATACTTTGTTTATTAACAAAATCTATTATCTACATATACATATATATTAAATTTATCTCAATTAAATAAAATTATATATAATTATATTTTATTTCTCTTAAGTTATCTCTTTTCTAGTTCAACTAATCCTACCTTTAATTACTCTTCTCGATTCAAGTTTAGGATGGTCCAACTGCGCCAAGAAAAAGAATAGAAGAAACATCTGACTCTTTCATGTATGTTCTCCTTGATTCGATGAATATATTTCAGTTGGTAGAGCTCCGTTCTTGAAAGCCTTCAAAACCTCAACCGGTTTTTTAAAAATAAAAATGAAAAATTTAACATTATATATATATAATTACCAACAGAATGCAACCTGTATACAATTCTTTATAGATATTTATCAAAATATCAAACAAGTCCATTAAATTTTTAAAAGAATAAAGAGAATGACCTCCTTATTTTTTCCAGAAATCAAACTACAATGTTTTGCTCTTCAATCACTATCCACTCATCATAATCAGAATATAAGATTCTAAAAGGCTAGAAGGAAAAAAATGAATGATTAGTTTCTTATTTTCTCCAAAAAAAATGGCCAGAGAATCAAATTAATCATTGTGTTTGTGGCAATATAACATCTCAGATCCTCAAAGGACAAACAATATTGTTGCAGAATTGTATGAATGTGACTAAAAAGTTTGAAGAAATTCCTAACTCCTTCAAAAGCCGTTATCTTCAAGGAGATCACCTGAACTGAAACTTCAGAATGGAAGTTGGTTTGCCACTAGAAAGTATTTCAGGGGGCTCTGTCGAAGGGCTGTGTGTCGTTATAACACACATCCCAGACTGCTTCCATGGCCTCCTTTGCAGCTGCTTCAGAGCAGTAAGGGTTGGCAATCACTGATTTCATTACTCTTCTTCTGACACAATCCTTTGATTGCAATGGAGAAAACAAGATAACAATTAGTAGAATTCTGCTTTGAGTTTTACAAAGAAAAATTGAATATCATGTATAATGTAGATTAAAGAAGATATTCACACGATTTGGGAAGGTTAGATCAGATTCCTATGGAACTATTTTGCCAAAAAGAAAAGATTTCTAGGCACAATAACTTTAAATCTACCCATTGCAACGTTATTTTCTGTAGCAAACCCTATATTTAGAACAAAACATGCAACGATGAGTTCCTTTTGTCTTACATTGCAAAAA